ACTAACTTGGGCTCACAAATGTGCATTTCGTCGAGCGTACTTGGTTCTGTGTTCTTGCTTCAGTGCATCGATTGATGATCGTGATTTTACGTGACAGAGTCTGTATATCGTTTTGCATGTGCAAGGGGCAACAATGAATCTGTGAGACAAACTGGTGGGTCTGTGAGTTCTTGTGTATGTATGTGTGGATATACTAGCTTGATAGAGTGGTTACGTGCTCATCTGAAGGCGGAGAGAGAGAGAGGGAGAGAGAGGGGGAGAGAGAGAGAGGGAGAGAGAGAGAGAAGGAGAGAGAGAAAGAGAAGGAGAGAGAGAAAGAGAAGGAGAGAGAGGGAGAAAGGAAAAGGGAGAGGGACAGGGAAGGACGATACCCTCCCTGGCTTTTCTCGACCGAGGTTCACGCATACGCGTTACGGGAAGTTCGTCGATTTTTTTTCTCTGCTCACACCTATGACCTGGAGCGGGCTGCGTGCGCGGGACCGCGGCTCGGGCCCAGCCTCCCACCGTGAAGACTGGCCGGTCAAAGTTTCGAGCAAAGTGCAGTCTGTTCGAGCTTGAATTCGCAAGCGCACGCAGAAGAGAAATCGAGGGGCGCTGGTCAAGAGGAGTTTATCCCCCGCTTTCAACCTTTCCGAGTCCCTGCACTTGGCTGTGCCTCGGTACCAGGCGTGACGAACCAGCTTTCTAGAACAAAGTATTGACTTTGCACGATCGCAGGAGCCAAAGAGGGATCGAGTCGAGAGAAAGGAAAAGAGGGAGGAAAAGGGAGAGAGGGAAGGAGGGAGCCCGCTCGGATGAGGGAGCCGAAGGCCTCCTCTTCACTTGGGTCAGTGCGGTTGGTGGCCGAACCCATTTCTTTATCTTACTCGAAGCACCTGCTTAAGGGTGCGGGGGCCGGGTCTTTCCAGACTCAAAGGCGGGTCCTTCTCTATGGGAAAATCGTGTGTGCAATTGTTTTCTCTGGCCTGTTATCTTTTTTTTCTCTGACGCTGTATTTTCTCAAAAGTCTCGTTTTGTTCACCAAACAGAGGAGTTCGCTGCCAACGGGTGGGCCAGTACTGATAACCTCGCTCGAAGCGGAAGGGGAGGGAAAATTATAAGGAGAAAAAAGAGGAGAGGGGTCAGGAAGCAATCGTGCATCGGAATCTGGTAGGGAAGACAGTTACCGAGGGACAGAATGGCGCCTTTGTCGGGGATGGGCTTCCTCTAACAGCCTCGGCTGGCCCAAGGGATGAGAGACTAGAGAGGAGGAGAGTGCCAGACGGCGACTTGGACTGGCGGTACTCGGACTCCTGTGATTTCGTCGGACTTTTGCGAGTCCCCTCCAACTTTGATCCTTGTTAGTTAGGGATCTACACGGCGCAAGTTTGGGTTCTCGGTGTTCCTCTTCGACTATCGGTTTTGGCGGTGGTACTCGGCCTCGGCGGTTCAAAGAACGGTTAGCGACTGCTCCCTGGACGAGAATTTTCTGTTGTGGGGGTGACCTTCTAGGGGGTGTAAGGGACTTGGTTTGGCAGGTCCGCGCTGGCCCCGCTTGTGACTTCAAGAACTCAGGTCAGATCGTCCTTGGGAAATGCTTTTTGGTGTGTTTTTTTCCTGAAAAAAGTAAAAATAAGAGGGTAAAAGTTTGGTTTCTGATGTGTGGATCGAATGAGTGTAAAAATTAACAAAAGAAGAGGGAAGGTAGTCTCTTGGGAGAATCGGGTCAGTGGGTCGGCTCGTGGGGAAGAAAACGATAACCTCGAAGAAAGGACGGTTAAGGGTGGGCAGGGAGTACCTTTTGTCCGAGACCCTAGGGGGTTGATTCCAAGAGAAAGGGTCGTACCTATCGTTCTTGACCCTCAGGGGCTAATGGCAAGGCCGTGGGAATAGAGCATTTGAGAGAGAGAAGGGATTCGCTAGGCAGGGTTGTCCTGGGGCTAGAAGAGAGGGGTATTGTCCTAAGGGCCGAATCTATAGTTGAAGTCCCTCATCCCAAGTCGAAAGAAGAAGGAGAGGGGAATCAACTCGAGAGGAGGATTCGCGAAGGGAAAACACCGGGGAAGTTGAGAGTGTAACGAGCGAGGAATTGAAGGTCGGGTCTTGGGTAGACCGGTGTCTTGTCAATTTCTTGGATTCGGAACTTGGGGATTATTGGGACTTTGATAACGAGTACTAAGTGCAGGGTCAGTGGGAGACATAAGGCACGAGTGTGTGACTACAGCCTAACTCCAAGGTGAGGGTTGCCACCTCTCCTCTTGGATAACTTGTGCTTGCGGCTAGCCGCTATACTTGGAAGCAGGAGGACCTCTCGGCGGAGGAGGACAGGGGGGTAGCCTAGTGCGACAACGTTCCTCCACTGGTCCATTTGATCCCGCTGGGCTCATAGGCCCCATCTTCTTTCAGGGTAGGGGTGGTTTCTCGAATCCTATTCTATAGTGTAAGCAAGGGGGGCTAAATCTATAAAGCCTATGAGCCTAAGAGTTCGAGAGGTTGAGCCAGTCGGCATCAATGTGGGTAGTTACAGAGGGGTGGACGTGTGGTGTTGCACCTTTTTTCTGTGGACTGGGGACTTTGACATAACACTTTATGTGGAGGAAGGGTCGGATCAAAGGGAAGATTTCCTCCATAGTTAGGAGAAGGTTGTCGGTCACTCAAGATTGGAAAGGGAACAACTAGGGAGTTACGGTGTCGGTGCGAATATCCTTACAAGGGTATCCGCCTTGTTTTTTTGCAAGTAACAGAAAATAAGTTGATTTAAAGTTTAGGTATACCGCACGAGGCATGGTTGCGTCTGTGGTTTATGTTGACTAGACGGTTGACTAGAGCAGAGAGTGTGTGGGCGCGCAAGTTTAAGGCGCGCGTCATCTGTTAGTTGTTGATGGTTGAAGGGCCGACGTGATCGCCGACCAGACTTTGTTTATTTTTTGATTAAGCTAGGATTAAAAAGGTTTTTGTATTTTAATTGATGCGTTTACCGGTGACTCGTGCGTACGTGCGAAGGACGACATCGATAACAATGTGACTTTGAAGGCATCTCGGTAGATCTGTGCGTCACGCGATATCCGCTTACTTTAGGTGTCCGTCAAAGCTAGACCCAGCCTTGGCCCTAGCGCTATTGGTTACAACATCGGACTTTCATCAAAGAGATTCAGGGATCGGGATCGAGCGGCGATTACGCGGGGATATCGGGGTAGCGCGAAGGGACCGAGGGGTGGAGGGTCCGGCGGGCTATTCCCCTTGGTTTTGTCGTTGGCGGCGTTGGAACGGTGGTAGTGGTTTATTTTTCCTTGATTCGTCATATTTTGATGATTAAAAGTTTCTAAATATTCTATTATTTAACGTCGTATTATTTTTATTTTTTGGGTGTTCCCTAACTCGAACGCGATGCCAGATTTTAAAGGCAGTCACGGCGGTCAAGGACCGTGAGCGCGCATCTCCCTTGGTTGACCTGCGGGTTTGAGCGTGTTCGGGATGCTGACGAAAATCCTCTATCGTGCCCGTCATTGAGAACATGGACCGAGGAGGCCAACGTGCGTGAGAGTGGTGAGGTTTGCGATTTGGCTTTCCTCGCTTCCCACTTGGAGAGCGTCGATAGCCTAAAGTGGACGGGATTGGCGGGGTTCATTACGGGTGTAGGGTCCGCCCCCTCCATCTACTGTGAGAGGTTTTGAGTGTGAACGTGCCTTTGGGACCCGACAGACGGGACTGAGCCTGGGCACAGATGGCCCAGGGGGCTGTCGGAGGGCCCGCCGCGGTATTGGCTGCAGCGACTGTTCACATGGAACCCACCCTCACACTAGCTCAGCGACTGTCCTCATCAAACTGCTTGGTACTACCACCAAGATCTGCGCCAGCTTCCGCGTCACTTAGGCTTGCGCTGCAGGCCTGGCAGCGGGCACGTGCCCTCCAACTCGTTGCAGCACAGTGTCGTTGGCCTTTGGGGCTGATCGGGTTGGCAGGCGAACTGATACACATTCATTATCAGTCTTTGGCACCCGAGGCCGAAGCCCTGCAGCCTGTATTGGTCGGAATTGCGGTGTCTTGGTCAATGCATGGGCTAGCGCAGGGAGAAAAGCACAAAAGGACGGAAGAGACTGGCCGCTACCGGGGGCAGCATTGGCAGAGATATCAGGAGCTGCGCTTCAGTTAGAAAAGAAGAGGGGCGCAGCCATAGAAAGGTAGTAAGAGGAGCAAGACGAGACGGGCGTGAAAGAAAGGAGCAACGAGCGGAGAGGTGGTGGTGCAAGGCAGAGGGGTAATGGGCGTTAAAGCAGGGGGGAGAAAGCTAATGGACCTGGACGGGGATTAGCACCAGGTACATTTGGAAGAAATGAAGATGGCAAAGGCAGGCAAGGCACAACAAAAAGGAGGGAGCACGCACGATCTTTGACAGAATCAGACAAGGGACGAGTCAAAACTAGGGTTTGGAAGGGAGGCGAGTCGAATGGCGGGATCAGATTAGCGCGGGAGGGAGTAGGGAGGGAGTTATGATGAAAATGATGTGCGCGGAGATGGCGGTGAGGAAGGAGGAGTGAGGGTAGAAAGTGTCGATATCACCCATTACTTGATGAAAATAGTCGAGGGAAGATTCGTTTTGGGGGTTTTGACGGCGGGCGACTTCGAATCTGTCGTTAGTTCTAGTGATAAGTTAGTAGATTTAGTGTTAGAAGAAGGAGGTGCTCGGGAACCTTGAGAGAGTGACGATGGTAAAGAGCAAAAGTTGCATATCTTACCCGATTCTCCTCGGAATCGGGCAAACTAAGATATTGCACTGAGCTTTTGAGGTTTTGCGAGCTGTTTTGCTGAGTCGGAATGACGGTTTGAGTGACAGTTTGGGCTGTATGTGAGGTGAGGGTTGCGCTCTGTGTGGAAAGGAAAAACTGAAACGAGAATGTCTGGTTTTAGCAGGAAGATTCATTCAGTAGTGTGAGGCGAGCCGAGCTTGGAGACTTACCTGTTGGCAGATGCGTTTTTTTTAGTACAGGGCTTGATGTAATGCCTCAGCAGGTATTGTACAACTCTGTTCATTTGCTCGGCATGTCCGTTGGCTTCAGGATGATTCCCTGAAGTCATCTGAAGTTGACTACCCATTCGTTCTGCATTCTTCTTCCACAGCTCACTTGTTAAGCGGACATCTCTGTCACTAACAATTGACTTCGGTAGTCCAAAATCACGCACCCAGTTGTCCATAAACAACTTGATGACGTGTCCATAAACAACTTGGTGAATCGGTCTATGATGACAAAGATATGCCTCTTGCCACTCCTACTGGTCACCAGGGTGTCCATGAAATCCATGGAAACACTCTGTCTCGGACCAGCGGGGATAGGTAAGGGCTTTAACAACCCAAGCGGTGCTTGAGTTCGCGGCTTGTCCCGCTGACAGACCTGACAGGTCTCCACATACTTCTCTGCATCTTCTAGCATTCCRCGCCACCAAAATCGTTGTACTAGATTGGCACTCGTATTTTTGTAGCCAAAGTGTCCGGTTGCGTCATGACATTCTCCTAAGAATAAACTACGCAAACGTTCACTAGATGGAATCACTAATCTTTTACAACTGGCCTTATCAAGAAAGAGAAACCCGTCCACCATCACAAACTCATCTTCTGCGGCCTTGTCTTTTGCCTGAAGCTTGCGTATGATGTCCATCATGACAGGGTCTTCCTGATAGGCTCCCACCAGCGATTGAGTTAGTTCCTCAKATACACCAAACTCAGAAACTAGCGCCCCTAGGTAATCTGCTCTACGGGACAGCTCATMTGCAACCTTGTTGTACTCTCCCTTCAGATACTCTAGCTTGAAGTCATACTGATCTATGACCTCAATCCAGCGCTTGAGTGCATCAGAAAGAGCCGGTCGAGTCTTGATCCATTTGAGGGTCTGATGGTCAGTTCTCAAGTAGAAAAACCGTCCCAACAGAAAGTGCCTCCAATGGACAAGTGCTTTGTAGAGAGCATAGAGTTCCCTTTTATAGGTGGACTTYGCCAGTTTCTTAGATGGCAYCTTTTTACTYATATACTCGATCGGTCTCAACTTTTTCCCATCCTGTTGAGCCAGCACTGCGCCAATGCCGTATTGGCTTGCRTCAGTGGTCACTATGAATGGCTTCTGAGGATCGGACACCATAAGAACGTCATGATTCATGAGTGCATGCTTCAATCGTTTGAAAGCAGCCTCGCACTCATCACTCCAGTCCCACGGTGTGTCAACTCGAGTTAGATCAGTCAAAGGAGAGGCGACTATGGAATAGTTCTTTACGAAATTTCTATAGTAGCCGCACATTCCTAAGAAAGATCTGACCTCAGTAACAGTCTGAGGTCGTGGCCAGTCCCTTATACTAGCCACCTTCGCATCTTCCGGCCTAATACCTTCCGCGGATACTTCATGACCCAGGTATAAGATCTTAGTTCGTCCAAAATTGAGCTCTCCCTGATCGACGGGACCTCTCGGAAGGTTGATATTCGTCGTGTCGATGCTAACCCTTTGAAAGGGGCGCTCTACACGAGTAAGCACCATCGTCCAAGGCATCTGTACCGGTGCCTTGTCCGCCGCGCAGGCCGGGCAATTCTGGGCGGTGTATTTCACATCTTCCCGAATTCCCGACCAGTACCATCCGTTCTTTTCGATGGCTTTTTCCGTGTACTTGACCGCGAAATGGACCGCATCCTCTTCATGAGCGGCTCGTGTCCAATCGAACCTAACAACTGATCTGGACGCCGGAATGCGAAGCGGCGTTTCAGGCGTTGAAGGAGGCTCTGACATCTGCTCCTGTGTTGGCGCGTCCCGACCCGACAAAACCGTTCGCACTSCACACCGACTGGCAGCCTTAGGCGATATCGGCGGTGCTGACTCAGCACGGGGSGGACGGAAGGGAACACGTCATTGAGTATGCGTCTAAGACGCTGAGCCCGGCGCAGGCTAATTACGAAGCGTGCAAAGGCGAATGTCTGGCGGTGGTGTGGGGGATCCAGCGTTTCCGACCGTATCTTTACGGCCAGAAATTCGTGCTGGTAACGGATCATCAGCCGCTGCTGTCCCTATGCAACAACATGGACTACACGGGGACGCTGGGCAGGTGGGCGGTGCGTCTGCAAGACTATGACTTCGACATCCGCCACCGTGTCATGCGGCAGCATGGTAACGCCGATGGATTGACTCGCCTCCTGCCGCCCAACAAGTGTCCCGCCAACGAGCGACTCATTCCGTGGAGGCCAGAAGTCGCAGCGATGAAACCGCACTACGGGGAGCTACACGTGTTGCGCAAGAACGACGCCTGAGTCGGGAATGGAGGTTTCGCCGGAGATGGCGGACGCTATCTCTTTGCCCTCATCCAACTCCCTCTCTCTCTCGTCTAGTCCCTACTCGTCCCCTGAAACACATCTAAGTCCCTGTTTCTTCTGTACCTTGCCTATGGTCTCGGACCAAGAAGGGTCACATCCGGGAGGGCCCAGTTTTCTTTTATGGGTAAAGTGTAGTCAGTGTCATACGGTCAAATCTCACGGACAGTGCGTTAGGTACCGAAGTGAAAAGACATGGGTCTGTCCCAACTGTAGAACGGACCAAGTCCCTACCCAGAAGCGGTATCTGGACGCCAGAACAGCCGACGGATTTGCGCCAAGTGCCCGCGGGCTGTGTGTCCGAAATTGGATTTAACGCGGGTTTCAC